CTCAACCTTGGCGACTTGAAGATGTGTGGATTTCAGCTCTCATGGCTGGCTGGGGAATTCTGCGAGCTGAAGTCCACACATCTTCAAGTCGCCAAGGTTGAGGAACTCCGCTCTAGAGTGATACTAGGAATTCAGAGATGTTAAATTAGATGAGATGACTCATCAGTCCTTATCTGATGTTGAATTATCTGCAGAGGGTAAAGTAAATGCCTGGAAAAGAACTTGAGGAAACTGAGGGTGGGAGGCTGGAAGAGGAAAATAGCACTCTTTGTAATGCCACATTTAAATATATGGCTGTTAAAGTATAGGAAAAGGCTCTGGAACCATGATGGGGTAAATGGAAAGATAGGATTCAAAGCCCTCCTTCCAGCTGTTCTGAAATTAAAAAGAAAACAAAACAAAACATATTTTGCACTAATGGTGATCCTTGCACTCAGAATCAGAAGTTGTCTCTCACCTTGCATTTTGGCTGTGGCTATAACATCCCCGGCTGACATGCTAGAAACGTTGACCAGATAGACAGGGCAGTGAGTCTGCCAAGAGAGGAAAAAGGGGATAGCATCAGAATGAGCTGTGAGGTAAAGGTTTCACAGTAGGATATATACAGAAGGGTGCAAAACATTCTATCTTCTTGCAAGGAGTTGGATAATCAAAGCAGCCTATAGGAAATTAGGGATCAAGTGGCCTGATGTAGAACAAGACCAAGGCGTCCACCCAAGAAATGTCCTTGAAAAGAGTACGCTTGTAGTGGATATAAGGGCTCAGCCATTAGTACTAAGATGGGTAAATTTGGTTCCTCAGGGAAGAATGGGGAGGGCTAGCTCTTACCCGATTAGCAATGGTGATGACACGATGTGTAGCTTCAGCCTCTAGCTGCAATGAGAAAGGGACGTGAGACAGTGCAAAATATAATGTATGCAATTGCCCTGCTGTTAACAGCCTGCCCTTGCTGTCAGTAGTGCCAATGTGTGCTTAAAAAACCCTACCATATCCCCATCACTGCAGCAATACTCAACTATTTTAAGGTCAGCTTGAACAGTGGCCAGCTTCACGGTAAGGTGTTCTAAGTACAAGATACCAATATAGATAGGAATAAGACACACACTGTGCTACAAATAGCAATTAAGTCAGTGAGCACAGATAGCCTTTGCTGCATCATTCATTTTGTTTTCACTAGCTAGAGGAAGTGGCTTCAGCAGAGTCCAGATTCCCCATATTATCAAAATACTTCCTCTTCATCCCAGAGGATTGCCTGTGAATGTGCCTGGCAATGTGGACAACATCTGAAGCCAAAAAAGTTGCACCCTAATGTATGTATGTAGTACACTCTCTGGTTCAACATCCTACAATTCTGCTAAGGAAAGGTTATTCTTACCATTCTGCCTCGGGGAGAAGATGGATACCAGGGCTTCTGGCAATGCACAGTGGAGTAGAATGAATACAGTGGAAAAGCCCACCAGGCCGTTCAACAGTCTCTTTCTAAAACTGTCCAGTAGGCCAAATCATCTCCTGAATGGTCGGCTGGGGAGGGGGATTTTTTTTTCCATATCCAATCACACAGGGTCACGGGACTAAGGAGGAAGAAGCAATTTCTGATTGGATGATGTATGTGCATATGTATATACCACCCCATGGGCATTTTTACCTCTTCGGGTCGGCTGATCTCAATTCCCTCTGGACCAGTGATGCCCAGATCCAGAGCTTCCCTGGCCCCCTGCACAGAGAATCAGAACAAAGAGTTACTTCAGGATGGAGACAGCAGTACCCTTTTCTCTTCCTGATGTTTTTACTTACACAGTTTGAAACCAGCATCATAATCTGGAATGCTAATGCATGATCTAAAAGGACTGCCTCCTACTTCACATTTTCAGTGCATATGGTGGGTGAGATGGTGATTCCAATCCACAATTCTTATTACATGTGAGCATAAAGGGATGATAAGGATTCTGGATTAATGAGAGCATGGCTTTGCAGGGCTAGCGCAAATTGCTTGTGGAAACACATCTAATTACTCAGACAACCCTAATAATAAGAATGAGAGAGTGTGTGCAGCCTCTGGGACAAGGGCAGGTCAGAAGAGAAGTCTTTAGAACAGTGTTCTTGGCAACTTTAAGACCTGTGGGCTTCAACTCCCAGAATTCCCCAGCCAGCAAGGGGAATTCTGACAGTCCATCCAAACTTGCATCCTGGAAATCCAACAACACTTTGAGACCCTCCATATTCATGGAAACAGTGGAGCTCAGACCCACCTTGGTAGCATTGCTGGAGCCACCCCACCCTCCTCCAGCACAGCTTACCTCAGCCACTAGCTCGCCATTCTCAGCATGAACACGTGCAATAGCTCCAATATCTTTGCAAGCACGGAACACCTGATAGAGCTCACTGTCCCGGAGCATATACAAGTCTTTGTATGTCATGAACATCTGGAAGGAGTTGACCCCCTTCTCTCGAACCAAAGTTTCCATTTCTGATTTTACCTAAGGCACCAGGAGGGATGGGGTTAAGAAAGAGTACATTAATTATCATGTATAGTTTTAAAGAAGTCCTGCAGACAAAAATATCCTATCCATTCACTCATAGATAAAAATGACAGGAGAATACTGCAAGTCTGAAACTAAAAATTAAAGGTCTCCAGAACTGCCAAGTAAAAGGTCAAAGATCCATGACCACAGGATAGAACTTGAGTTTCAAAATTTGCCTCCCAAGTTGTATCCTAGACAGCTCATCACTTGCTCCAAGCCAGAAATTTCATGCCATATTAGTGCTTAATAACTTGTGTAAAATCATCTAAACTTTTGTTTCAAGGCTTTTTCTCTGGCAAAAACATCACTTACACATTTCAAGCCTATGAAATTGCTATGGGAAGCTGAGCTCACAGAGGGGAAAGCTGAAGCATATTTTCTGTGTGTTGTGTATGTATGTGTGTGTGTGCACATGTGTGATTTGTTTATATTCCAGTGTAGAGATAAAGTCCCAAGTGGACAGCAAAAGATGTTCACTTAGCAAGGTATCTTGTAGTACAGTATAAGTTCAAGCAGAGTGTTGTCAGAAACTGAGGGTGGCAGGAGGCTGGAGAGGAAGTAGTTGAGCTGCAAAATCCAAACAAAAGACTACCCTCAACCTCCCAACCTGGACAAGATGGCCATTGGGTAGACATATCTAATCCAATAAGCATGGTCTATAGTTCCTGAACAAGCCCCAGATGTTTGAGGCTAAATACGTACTTTGTAAGAGGAGCTGCACAAGGGCCTGACTTGAAGTTGACCCCAGCAGATGACAACATGAGGACAGGAGAATGGATGGAAGCCTGTACGCAACAATGGCAGAAAGCTGGGCTGTTGGGCCATGAAGATCATTACCCTGGATGTACAGGGCAGGGCCACAGTTCAAGCTCAATTTCTGGTAGGATTTGATAGCTCTGGGAAAGGGTGCTGCCTACTACTTTAGAAGGCCACTTCTTGTCAGTTTAGAACAGTTTTCAATTTCATATTGTTAAGTTTTTTTAGATTCCTAAAATCTTCAACCAGCATGCCCAATTAATTATAGGTGTCCCAGCACAGAGAACCACACTGAGGGCTAATGATGAAACGCATACGATGACATCACAATGCACTTGCATTCAGTGTTGGGACATACATAGGGATCCAACAATGGGTCCTACTGGTTCTCAAGTACACTAGATCTTAATTGATGGGTTAGGACCTACCTTCCGGACTGCAGCAAGTCCAAATATGGATTGCATCAGCAGCACAACCACTATACAAATATATGGTAGAAATCTGTGTGTGTGTGCTTTCAAGTCAGTGTTAATTCCTGGTGACTGCCTGGACTAGTCCCTGAAATTTCCTTGGAAAGATTTTCCATTGCTTTCTTTCTAGGGACGAAAGAGAGAAACTGGCCCAAAGTTACTCAACTGGCTTTGTGCCTAAGGTAGGACTAGAACTGTTGCCTAAACATTATGCTTGCTAAAGTGGAGCCTAAAAAGGTTGAAGACTAGTGGCACAAAGGATAGTAAACTAGATAAAATAACGTTCTGGCTTAGCCTAAAAGATCTTTCAATGTTTCATATTCCCTACCAGGCCCATCCCTCTTACCTTGGGTGCCCACCAGGTGATGCCCATGTGCAGGGCATAATCACAGCACACCTTTGGGTCAGCCAGGCTGCGACACTTCTCATAAGCATCTAGCAGGGAAGTATCTTTATCTGGAAGCACGTGTCCAATAACCATGGTGGTCCCCCCAACCAGGGCTGCCTGCATGTGGAGGGAGAAAAAAACCCTTTAGAGATTTATATTTATATATTTGAAATTATTCCTATTTCATTCTTGCATCACTTTAATAGTTCTCGGGGAGCTAAATATTGACAATGGTAGCCATCTTATGTTAGCAATGAAGTAATATATTACAAGGCAATAGAAACAACTCGATATTAAAATATTTAAAAATTCTTCAACACAAGAATCACATTGTGTTAAGATCTGAACAAATAAAAAGGTCCTTCACTTCATACTGAAAGTATAGCCCAAGTGATGCCAGATAAAAGCCATACTGGGTAGAAGATATTCACCACCCATCTTGCCTCCAAGGGCAGTACAGAAAAAAATCTATAGCCATTAAGAACTTTTTCTATTTCCTGGCAGTCTGCTGACTTAGAAAGCCAACAGGGAGTTTTACATGGGATCTTAGAGGCAGAATGGTGGGCTCATTTGTTCTGCAAACCTATTGATTTCTCTCCATTTCTTAAGAACAAATTATATATTCAAAGAAATCTTGAATAGATTTCTGAAGGCCAGGAGGCTCTATACAGAGAAGTAAAAAATGTTTTTATTCCTTTGTTGCTGGAGGTAAGCATGATTAGTATCTATCAGGAATGCTATAGTTGTGTCATGCCTTAGATTTGGGGGTTTGTGGAGGTAGATTAGATGGCCTTCAAAATCATTCCCATTAAATGTATTAGAATATCTCTGGTCCAGGCATTACAATGTGGGACACTATTATCTGTAGGAAAAGTTGGTTACTAATTCCAGGAAGCCTTTAACTCTTCTTCTTCCAATCCTAGAAGTGAGGAATGATGAGACAAGCACTCAATACATATGCTCAGAAATACTCTTCTAGAAGGCCAGAGATAGGCAGCTCTACTTCTTAACAACCCAGAAATAGATAACAAGAAATCCCTGATTAAACCAAGCCTATTCAATTCAAGGAGCAATGCCTTCTAGTCTCATCTCCCTGTATCTCCCTGAAGTGTGAGACTACAAGATGTTCTAATAGGTCATGAGATAGAGTGGAGGGGGTGGTCCTGCAAGTACCCAGGTGCCAAGCCATAAAGGACTTTATGGGCTAAAACCAGCACTTTAAATTTACCTAAATTGAATTGGTAACCAGCACAGAACCCATAGCATTGATGTTACATGTTCCCAACATTGGAAGTCATTAACAACTGGGCTGCTGCATTTTGTAATTTCTGAGTAGTCTTTAAAGACAGTATCTTGCTATAGTCTATATGGGTGGTAATAAGGGTATGAGATACTATGCCAGGTCCTCCTGCACCAGGTAAGGCTGCAATGAGCACACCAGCTGGAGCTGGCAAAGGTCCCTCTAGCCATGGTTTCTACCTGCAGTTCAAGCAGGAACTGTGAGCTCAAAAGGACCCCCACATTGTGAATCTGCTCCTTCACAGGTAGTGCCTGCCCATCAAGAGACAATACTAGTGTTGATGGAGAACCCTGGTATACAAATAGCAACTTCCTTTTGCTTTGGTTCAACTTCCGCCTGTTCTCTCCCACCTAGGCCCTTCTATAACTTCCAGGCACCTTGAGAATGATACCACACCTCATACTGTTGGATGACCTTCCCCAGTGATTTCATGTCAATGGTATCAAAAGCCACCAAGAGATCTGAAAGCAGGAGAGGCACATTACCCCCATCCAAATCCCAACAAAGGTAATTTGGAAGAGCAACTCAAGCTATCTCACTCTTGTTCCTGAGCCTGAACTCCAACTGAAAAGGGTCCAGATAACCTACTCCTAGGGTGCTGTGGGTTGATCTTCCACCATTATTTGAACAATCTTCCCCACCAAAGGAAGGTTTGAGCCTGGCCAGTAGTCTTCTAGAACCATAGGATCCAGAAATGGCTTCTTCAAAAGGGGGCACACCACAGCTTCTTTCAGAGCTGCTGGCAGCTCCCCCTCATGCAGGGGAGCATTAACAATCTCAGAAATCCAGGCAGTGACTTCTCCAACCCCTCCTTGCAACAGCCAGGATATTAGCTGAACAAAAGCTCCATGCTCACAAAATATTGGCAGGGAAATCAAAAGGAGAAGGTTATTGCCCATATGCTTTGCTTGGGAGCTTCCTGATATGAGAACCAGGCAGGAGCCAGCAGATCTCAGGTCAGAGAGGCAGTTCTGTAAAAATAAAACCACCCAGCTTCAAGGCCGCTAAACACCATGCCAAGAATCTGGAATCTGTTAATTTAAACCACAGCAGGGTCATAATAATGTACCATTTGTACCATTGCACTGCAGCAGTCAGCTGTTTTGAATGCCTTCATTTTTGTCTGCAGTAAAAATTCTTATCTGAGACTTTCACCATGTCTAGATGAAGAGCTGGGCTAAATCATGAAGTGTCAGGAGTTCTATGATTTACTGCTAACTCCAGAGAATACAGCCTGACAGCTAGAAACATCTGGCTGGTTTCTAGTAGAAACAGGATGTTAAGATCAGATCAGGGGTAGGGAACTCATGGGATGCGGGATGCTAATGAATTATAATACATATCATCCCTGAAAAATGGATATTCTGAGAGGGGCTTCCAGTTCTCTCTCCCTGGACAAGGAAGATTTTTTTTTTTTTATTGGATCTACTATTACAAATTGAATTAAACATGCCAATAACCTATCTCAAATAATCAGAAAGTTGGTATAAAATATGTGAGTAGATATACAACAACTTCCTCAAATAAAAGGATCTGCTTTGAACCCTGAATAGTCCAGGGTCTATTGCCTGGGTCTCTATGAATTCCACCCTGCCTGAGATCCAGGAGAACTGCTTCTAATAGGTGGCATTCTGGGCTAAACTACCATCAGTCTGTGCTGACATAGTAGGCAATTGCACGTGGTGTCTCATGATGACTGCCTCGAGCAGAACGTTTTCTGTAATACAACCACTTCTGATTCCTTGTCTGCCTTACCCAATAATTTGCATAATTGCTTCGCTCAGTACAAACTAGACCAGGAAACCTCATTCTGCTTTTAGTTTTGACTGTTTTAACTGAAATCTATTAGGCCTAATCAGGCACTGTAACTTCAAATACACTGGAGTGGTATGGTGACACGCCCCAAGCCCAATGGTATTGTGTGATGGGAGTCTCAGAAAAGGCATCTGCATAGACAGTCTGCACTGAAGTTGTTGCAGACAGGCTTCTACATTATCCCAGACCTCAAGAGTACAAGGTTCAAGACCACGTGATAGTCAATGCATAGACACAAAGGCCTCCTCATCATGGCTTCTGTGGATGTCTGTCCCCAACTTACATCACAAGTGGATTGATATAGGAGGACAGGGTGTTGGCAGCTGTCCAACTAAAATCTGCAGGTAAGGGCCCTTTAGAACAACCTCAGTTCTTGTCAGGAGAAAGTTCATCACCTCTCATTTCTATTGTCAAACAAGGTATCAGATAAGACTGTTAATTACTACTTCAATAATCTAACTACTACCATCATTCATATTTCTTCTGGAAAACTTCCAGGAAACATTAATGAAATGATTTGCAGGAACTCTGGAAGAAGACTCTTGCTATATGTAGTAATTATGGAGTGGGACTATGGATCAGGAACCTCTGCTAAACTGATTTTCTGCTGATATAATGGGGAGGCTATATCCTCAGCCACCCTTCTAGGCCACTAGCTAACCTCCAAAGCTGGTAGTAGAGCACACACAGGTCCTAAAAATGCAGAGCAGAGGAGCCAACTGTCCAGCTTGTATTTATGTGCCCAGCAGCACTGGGTCACCTAAGTTTCATGAGGTTGGAGGGAAAGGGCCAGGACAGATTGAAACAAAAGTACAGGACACATTCTATCCTACTAGGATTGTAAAACTGGGACTGACAACCTCCTCCAGTTTTCTAAGCACACAGGGAAACTATTAGAAATGGAAGCAGAAACTATTTCACAGTATAATACTGGGACACAGTTGCTACCAACTTAATTTTAGATAAGAATTATTTTGAGTACAGGCAGTCCCCAGTTTAAGGACAAATTCCATTCCCAATATCTGTCCTTAAGTCAAATTTGTATGTAAGCCAGAACAGTATTATTGCATAATACTGTTTTATTGTGAACCACCCAGAGTCACTTTTTCGTAAGATGGGCGGTATCTAAATTTGAAACATAAATAAATAATACTGTATAAGTAGTATGTATTGTGTAATGAATGTGAACCATTGGGTATTTAACTCAAATCATTATGCATTTAACTTGAATTTTGCTATAATAGGCTCCATTCTTAACTAAGGGTCATTTTAAACCAGATGTTCTTAACCTGGGGACTACCTGTACAAGGCTGAAGCCTATTGAATATGATGTGTGAAATGCATTTCCTTCACTAATTAGGCCAGGGGTGGGGTCGAGACATTTCAGCAAATATTGGGGAAGGAGAAAGGGGGGGCAAACAAACTTAAATGGTGCTTGGGCCAGATTATGGGCTGTAGTGTAGCAGCTCCAGATTATGGGCTGGAATTGTAGTTCATCTGTCTGTAATCATGCTCAACTCTGCAATAAATATCATTTTTTTCTGAGTTTGTAAATGGAGTTTGTATATGGAAAGCAGCAATTAATGTAATGAAGCATTTATTTGGTATTGTTGTTGTACAAGTAATTCTCAGGAGACTGATTTTGGAAATAGTACAGGAATCAACAAATTGGCATTTGTGTGCAGATGACTGAGAAGGGAGATATAGCTTCTTAATTTAAAAAAGGGAGAGCTAATCAGCACTCTGTACAAATGAAAGCCAGGAGCTTCTTTGCTTTTATTGTAAATAAATACTTTTATTTGCAGTAAATGGCACTAATGACATTTTTACCCCTGAAAAATAGAACATAGGGGAATGTGCATTATAGTTCACACTTCAGGCAAAGAAGCTCTTCTTCCCTTTTCCACTCATCCTCCTCCATTGTTCAGTCCTTTTTTCTTGATACTCAGAAGAATGGTCCTGTGTAGTCACAACAATCTTGTTCAAATCCAATCACTTGCTG